GTCCGTAAGAAAAATAAAAGAAACTTGCCCTCCCTCCCTCACAGATGGATCATACATTTAAATGTAAAAGCTAAAACCATAAGGCATCTAGAGGGGAGGATATAGCTGAGTGGTAGAGTACACGCCTAGCATGCATGAGGTCCTGGGTTCAACCCCCAGTACCTCCATTAAATAAATAAATAAATAAACCTAACCCCCCCCAAAAAAAACATAAGGCATCTTAAAGAAAATATAGGAAGATATATTCCTGAACCTAAGGGTAGATAAATATTTTTAAAACATGTCATAGGCAATATCTTATGAAAGAAAGAATGGACTTCATCAAAATGGAAAACTTCTGCTCATCAAAAAATACCCATTGCAAAAGTAAAAAGATAAGCTATAGACTGAAAGAAAATTAAACAGAGAGATCTGACAAAGAACTCATATCCAGAATATATAAAGAACTTTCCGATACAGGAAAAAAAAAAAGCAGAGGACAGGCGGCAAGACTTAAATAGGCACTACATAGAAGAAAATATCCAAATGATCCATAAGCAGATGAAAAGGTGTTAAAAATTATTACTTATCAGGATATGCAAACTACAACCACAGTGAGATACACTGTATAACCATGAGAATGGCTAAAATTTTAAAGACTGACAAAACCAAGTGTGAGGTGGATGGAGCACCTGGAACTCTCACGAATTGTCAACAGAGTTTAAAATGGAACAACCACACTGACAATTATTTGGCAGTTTTTAATAAAGTTAAAAATACACCTTCCCTCTATCCCAGGATTTCCCCTCCTAGGAATATACCAAAGAGAAATGACTTGTTCATAGCTGGTTTATTCACAATAGGCAAAAACTAGAAGCAACCCAAATGCCCATCAGCAGAAGACTGGATAAACAATTGTGGTATACTCTCACAATGGAATACTGCACCGCAGTAAAAAAAAACAACAAACAAAAAACAAACAAACCAAAAACTATTGATAAAAGTAACAACATGGATGAATCTCAAAAACAGCCTGAGCAAAAGGAGCCAAACACAAAAGAACACCTACAGTGTAATTCCACTTACATGAAGTTTAAAAACAGGCAAAACTGAGGTTGAGCAGACTATAGTGACTGGGAAGGGGCAGGAGGGGAATCGGATGGGGATGATGGAAATATAACTTACTACATGGACGTTTATGAGGGTAAACATGTAGGCACACACTCCTGAGCTGTGCACTTAAAATGTGTGCATTTTGCCACACATACATTATGCTTCCATTTTTAAAATGAGGGGGAAAGTCGCATCTAGAACATCAAAATCTGTGCAGCCCAAATGGGAAGTGGGAACTCCCCAGCCAAAGAGATCTAGGAAGGGTTACTGCAACCTCCACTCTGGGGACCAGGAAACCCTATGACTCCCCAAGAGTCTGGCTGAGCCCTAAGGGCTCTTGATTCCTTCTGCTCACTCTTTTTCCCTCTGCAGCAATACAAGCATGAAACTCAGACAGTGTGCTCCTTAAAAAAAAAAAAAAACCACTCATGCCGAGCACTTGGTGAGTTTGATGGCCTTTCTGCAAATCTAAAGTCCCAGGGAGGGTCTCATTGCAGAGCACAGGCTGGCCCTCTTGCCATCCAGCGGGCTGGACCGTCTCCTCTCCGTCTGAATACAGAAAGAAAACTGTGTTTCTCAAGTCAAGAAGCCAGCCAATTCCCAGGCCAGAGTCTCTGCTTCCTCCCTGGAGGGGGCTGGACACTGTGTGTGGCCGCGCCCTCTGGCTGAAGCAGGCTAACTGCCATTTCCCCTTCCCAGCTTCCTCTTACCCTTCACCTCCAGGCCCTAGGGGAGCTCTGAGAAATGTTTACCATCCCATGAAGGCAATTTGAAAACCACTGCACTAAACTTCAGGAAAGGAAAAACTGACTGAAAAAAAAGGAATTTAAAAAGAAGCCATTGAGGGGGTGGATATAGCTCAGTGATAGAGTGCATGCTTAGCATGTGTGAGGTCCTGGGTTTAATTCCCAGTACATCCAGTTTAAAAGAAAAAAAAAAAGGCCATAAGCCATGTGTACGAAGAGTTGGAGTAGGGAGTGGCTGAGGCAGAGATTCTAGTTACACTCATGTCAAGGGCCCTGGATGCTTTGGGGTCTGACAGGCAGCCACCCATCAACCGCCTCAGGAGCCCATGTGCATTTCAGACATGCAGACACCCACCGGAAGAGGCTACCAGCCCGTGAAGTCCCCTACCCCTCCACTGAGGCCTCCGCACCTTCCTCCCTCCTCTTCCCCTCACGGTCACGGCCCTTCCTACAGGCCTGGCCCTGCTTAGATTTTAGCGGCAGGACTGACGTGGGCTCCCTCAGTCCCAGCCTCTTTCAGCCCCTCCTCAGAGGGTGGCTCTGCAGTCTATTCAGATTTGCTATTTTCCTTCATGACTTAATCTTAGAGGATTTTATGATTCTAAGAATGTATCTATTTCTTGCTGGTTGTCCAATTGGCTGGCATATAGCTGTTCATACTATTTTTTAAATAATCCTTTGTATTTCTGTGGTATCCATTGTAATTTCTCCTCTTTTATTTCTGATTTTATTTATCCGAGCCTTTTCTCTCCCTCTTTTTTTTTTTTAGTAAGTCTGGCTAAAGGTTTGTCAATTTTGCTTATTTTTTCAAGGAATCAACTCTTAGGTTCATTGATCTTCTCTGTTGTCTCTTTAGTCTCTATTTCATCTATTTCCACTCTGATCTTTCTTATTTTCTTCCTTCTACTGACTCTGGGCTTCGTTTGTTCTTTTTCTAGTTACTTTAGATGTAAGGTTAGATTTTTTATTGAGATTTTTCTTGTTTATTGAGATAAGCCTGTCTTGCTATAAACTTCCCTCTTAGTATTGCTTTTGCCGCATCCCATAGGTTTTGGTATGTCACATTTTAATTTCCATTTGTTTTCAGGTATTTTTTAATTTCTTCCTACTTTTATTGTGTTGCTCTTAACTTCTTCCCTTAAGTTCTTAACTTCTCCCTGTAGATCTGTTAATATTGCTTTATATATTTGGTATTCCTATGTTAGGTACATATATATCAACAACTGCTATGTCTTCTTGAAGAGTTGTCCCTTATCATTATATAAAGTCCATCTTTGTTTCCTGTTTTTTTTGTTGTTGTTGTTGTTTTTGCTTGAAGTCTATTTTTTCTGAAAGATATGGCTACAACTGCTTTCTTGGGGGTTCAATTTGCTTGGAGTATTAACTTCCATCCCTTCACTTTGAGCCTATGATTGTGTTCAGAGCTGATATGATTCTCCTGGAGACAGCATAGAGTTTAGTCTTGTTTTTAAATCCACACAGCCACTCTATCTCTTTTGAGTGTTGATTTCAATCCATTTATATTTAGGGTGATTACTAACAAATAAGGACTTAGTACTGCCGCTTTATCTTTTGTTTTCTGGTTGTTCTATATCTCCATTGGTTCTTTTTCCTTGTGTTTCTGCCTGCCATTTTAGTTTGGTGGTTTTCTATGATTTTTTTTCAGCTTCTTTTTATGTTTTGTGTCTCTGCTCTACATTTATGTTTTGTGGTTACCATGAGGTCTGTTGAAAACGTCTTGTAATAAAACGGTCCTTTTTCTGCTGATAGCATCTTTGTTTGCCTACACATGTTCTGTCCTTTACCTTTTCCTCTTTAATTATCTTTTTGTTGTTATTGTTGTTGTCTCAAATTATGCCTTTGTATGTTGCGATTTTGTTACCAAATTGAAGTAGGGGAGAAGGGTGTAGGGGGAGCCAGGGTCACAGGCACCTTTGAGGTTGTTAGGTTCACAGCACCACTGCTGCAGGCAGGGATCTGGAGTTGCAGGCATCTCCCCAGCTGGAGGGATGGGATGACAGGCCCCACTGCCACTGTGGCCCAGCTCCCTGCGGCTGTGGGCACCGCTGCGGTTGGGAGGCCAGAGTCATGTGTGTCACCTCCCCTGCTGCTACCAGGCTTTCTGGGGCTGCAAGTTCAGTAGCCACAGCCGGGGTTCTGGGTTTGCATGCACTGCCTCTGCTGTTTCCCCAGTTCTGCCTCCTCTATGTATTTCTGTCCACCGCTTTTAGGTGTACAGATGTGTGGAACTCTCTGACATCCTGTGGTGTTTGAAAGAGGAACATTTGTTGAGTTATGGATGTTTTACTGATTGGAGATTGAAGCAGGGAGACAAAGGGAGCATTTCGTGCCACCATGAGGCTGACGTAATCTCTACAATTTTTAAAACTATTTACCATTTGATGACTGTTGGGGTCATTTTCAGTTTTGGGCTATTATGAATAACGCAGCTATGAACATTTGTACACAAGTCATTGCGTAGACATATGTTTTTATCCTTCTTAGGTAAATAGCTCGAAGTGGAGATACTGGGACGTACAGTAAGTGATACATCTATCCCAGCCCTGAACACCGGGTTTACCTGTGTGGGGAGCAAGATTGGGAGAGGGGGAGGGGGGAAACTGTAATGGTTTATTTCTTGAAAATAACTACCAAAAAAATGGGAAGGAAATACGATAAAATGTTAGAAGTTTAGTTCTGAGTGATAGGAATAAGTGTTTGTTGTTTTATTCTTTGTATTTTTCTGTATTTTAAATAGTTCCAGAAATGTAGATAAAAGTAAAATACAAATATCCAGCCAAGATTCTTCAGAGAGAGACTTTTACTTTCTTTAAAGAGTCAATTTTAAACAATCAGCCTTGACATTATTAATAGATATTCCTTTCAAAAAATGAAATTTTTGTTAGAGGTTTTAAACTTTGGGAAACTCTCTGGTTGTGGTTTTCGATTTCCCACTTCAGAGGCAACAGGATGGAACCACTGTCAAAGAGAACGCAGGGAAGTCTTGTTACAGCAGGACTCCTAGACACACTCATTCGTTCCTCCCCAGCTCCTCATCCTTCCCAGTTGCTGTCAGCGCAGTCTGTTGAGGAAGAAGGACTTACATCAAGACATACTCGTTTTCCCTGTGCCTATAAAACATTCTATAGGCGGAGCTTGTGAGCAACGCCCGCTTTAAAGGCCGGAGTCTCCGCCCTTACCTGACCACTTGCATCCTGCCCAGCGAAGAAGCAATTAGCCAAAATGATGCCTGGAGGCTTAACTGAAGCCAAGCCTGCCACTCCAGAAATCCAGGAGATTGCTAACTCGGTGAGTTGATGCAGCCCATTAAAATGTTTAATCCAAAGACTTGGTTCCTGGTTTGGCCTCGTGTTAAGAGTGTGGGTGAACACGAAAGCCAGAACATGGCGAAATGTGTGGTTTTGTTCAGTTTTCCTCACAACTGAAATTTTTTTCAGCTGGAACCTCTGATAATGCTAACTATGAGAGTGATCTTGAGCAAGTCACATCCCTTCTCTGACCCTGTTTCCCAATTTGTAAAAGAAGAATTTTTATTAGATCATCTCCAAATTTTTTACAATGTCTGATTCTAGGATTACTAATTCAGTTTCTGATGATGCTTTTCTAATCTCCCAAGTGGAGCCAACATGTAATTAAAGTCTGAGGTTGTCAACAAGTGACAAACTAGACCTCAAATGCACTGCGGGGAAATGTTTTTAATGGGTTGAATGAAGAACAATTTCATAAAAGCCATCCACTTCCAAACTTCCTACAGATTTGACTAAATGGGCAATGTTTTAGTCTTTTAGAATTTGGAAGTTGATCAAACTAGTAGAAAAGTGGTGTAGTCTATGGTGATTCTAAAATTACGGTGAAGATAGAATTCAATGTGTTTAGCAAGTTGATGCATTTTTCAAAGTGTTGTCTGATTAGCTATCACCAGTATAATAAAATGTATCATATTGCATATTTTATGAAAAGAAAATATATACAAATTGCTATTTTAGGCTTGTAAATTGTTGCCCTGTTTTCTTGTACCATTCCTTCTTGTTTTTTCTCACTAAACCTTCATTCTATGACACTATTTGACAAACAAGATCAGCTTCTTATGTAAGAGGAAGAGATGGGATTCTCTACGTGAGGGCACTGGGAAGCTCTCTAAGAGAGCAGATGACTGGAATTCTACCACTCATTCTGATAGTATTGGCATTAACACCTTTATTCAAATCCCTGTATTGGGTCGGTGTTCTCAGGCTTGCATGTGCACATGAATCACCTGGAGGTCTTATTAAAATACAGACTCTGACTCAGTGGCTCTAGGGTGGGGCCTGAGAGTCTGCATTTCTTACCAGCTCTGGTGATGCTCAGGCTACTGTCCATGACCTCACTTGCCTATAGGACCAGAGATACACGATATCCTGAGAGGCCTATGGGAGATGGGCTTTCTAAACTCAGAGGGAGGCAAAAAATTCTCAGTTTCATCTGAGAAATAGAGATAACGCCTCTTGCCCTGTGACCTCAGAACTGTGAGGACTAATGAGAGTACGTGCATACAAATGACTTGGAAATGAGAAAGCAATGTGCATCGGTGAGGCATCACAACCGTTTACTTCAAATTTTTGCCTGAAATCATCCTGACCTTGGAAAATCCCTCTGAGACTCTCCAGAAGCCAGCGCTATAAGGGGACTGGGAAACAACAGAGATTTGAAATATAAAAGGTAGAAGGCGCAGAAAATTTTATTAATTTTTTAAAAGCCTATCTTGGTACGCAAGAATAATTTTTTTCAAGTAACAAGTTATGAGAAAGCCTTAGGTTGTTAATAATACCTGTCTGTGAGCCACATCTTAGGTTTATAAATTAAGTTGAAAGTGTGTTTCTTGCTGCTTATTTCAGGCTGCAACCCTGCCAGAGAGGTAGAATAAGAGACAGCCATTAAGAGTAGCTACCTCATCCCAAAATTGCTTTGCAATTTTAAAAGCCAGGTCCTCCATTTGACTTATTTCATAACCCCTGGGGCAGGGACGGAAGACATTCTGCCCATTTTTCAAATGATGAAACTGAGACTCAAAGGGGTTAATAACCACCTAGTTAAGACGTTAGCCTATCTCCAGACTTTTGATCACCTGCCTTTCCCACCACACAGTGGCAGCAACATGACAAAGTATTTGGGTGAGCAAAATACACTAGGGGGAGGCTGGGTGGCAAACTTGTCTTCTCTATGCAAGCTGCCAGCCTCCGTTTTAAATCAACATGAGAAATGAATATCAATGAATCATTTCTTGAATATCTCTTAGGTGTCCAACATTGTGTCAAATGTCGTGGAAGACCTGTAAGGCCTGTAAGATATGGCCCCTGTCTTCAAGGAGTTTATGATCCATTTAGGGAAGTCAAGCTATCTGGAACATAATATAAAACAATCTCCAATTAAGTCCTTTTTCATAATCGTAGGTTTTGGACTAGGAAAAACATAAGAGATTCCTTGTCAAACCTCCTTCCTTTCAGATGAATAATTGCTGTGTGTTAAACTCAGAATTACTTATCTTCCTTCTCTCACAGGAGACAGCCTCAGGGGACAATTCCCAAATTAAATGCTGGAAGTTTGAGGGATAGTCAGTCAGGAACACTTTATAGTTTAGGAATCACTTTCACATCAATTGTATCATTTATTCTCTCAGAAACAATCCTAAAAGACAACTATTACTACCATTTTTAGGTGAGGAAATTTAATCAACACCTCCAAGATTACAGAATTATTTAGTTCCCCAGGCAGGGCCAGGCACACAGTTAGGCGTTGGTAATCACATACCTAGTATGATTTGAAGGGGTCTCAGGGAAGACCTCCACTTACCTGCCATTTACCTTGTAGTTTTGTTCCTTTGATGTTCTAATGTATTTCTAGTTTTCAAATTCGCCTGTTAAAATGCAGTATTCTGAGGTTTCTCAGCTTTCCCTGTTCTTACCAGAGAGCTTCGTAGTGGAGCCAGCTGAAGGAAGACCTGCTAGGGAGGGAAGGAGAGGAGGGGAAGGTCATCACACAGAGAGGAAAAAGTATCAAAGAAAAATGATGACTGCAGGTTCAAGGAATTTGACGTCAAAAGGGAAGAGGGATGTTGGGCGAGGTCAGAGAGAGAGGATCAAACAAAGGACCTAGGGTTGAGAGGACCTGAACATTTTTGAAGGCAGAAGAAGGGGTTTTGTCCATTCTGAAGATAACAGAGACTGGATGAGAATGGTGGTGTCATGCACTAAAGAGTGTTAATGGCACTTGTGACAGAGTACATGTAGAATAAACCCTCTCTTCCAAGATTCTCTGTACTACTTAAAGGTGTTTGCTATAATCCTTTTCTATCCTCTTTTCTATTTGAGGAGGCAAGTTGTAATGAAGGAAAACAAGCCTTGTCTCTTCATTCAGAAAGCACTGATTTTGTACATAGTACCGGGTGAGTTGCTGCTGGGGCAGAAGGGACATAGAGATGGTCCCTGCCCTCAAATTTAAAAATTTACAAAATAGTTTGGAGATTAGAGATATACACAAGGAAATAAAGAGCCATACATGGCCAAATCCATGAAAAGCCACAGTATGTGTAATTAAGGACCAAATGAATGGCCCTACCAGCAAAAGCCTCTGGATCATTACAGCTGATTCATTATCTTATGTCATATGAAAAAAAAAATTGGATGAGAATTCTGAGTATGTTTATGTACAGGAAAAAAATGCTATTTCAATAAGTATTTTTAGAAATAAGGGCTAGTATTACACATGCACAGATGCATACACACAAAACACACACCCCTAATTCAAACCTGACTCCTGAATACCATTCCTGGCATACAGATCATGACTTTTGTCTGCCAGGACACTACGCAAACATCCCATCTGCATCCCATTATGGGCACACCCCAGAGCCTAGCATGTCACAGCTCTCACTCACCCACAGATTTGTGTTGTTCTCTCTGACCGCAGCCTCCCCATCAGTCACCCCTTCCACTGCCCCACACCCAGACAACTTGACATTCAGCCACATCAGAATCTTTCAGGCACGCACCCTCCTGGCTTCATCAGAAGATGCCTGGGCCCCCTGGCTCACTCCTCCAGCCTGGACTCCATGATGGGTGGTTTCACACTCCCCTCCACCCCTGCTCTCCATGACATGACCGCATGAGCTCTGGCATTCCGGTCCCCAACTAGAGGTCACGCCCACTGCCGCCACTTCCTCCTCAGCTTCTGCTCCAGGTTCGGAGAACTTTGCTCAAGGAAGATGCAGAATCACACAAAATTCACTCATTAGCAAACCTACGAATTCATGGCAGTGAACAATGGCAGCAGGACCCTGGGGCTGCCAGAACATCCTTTAAGTCATAGTCTGCTGGTCCTTTTCTAGAAACCCCACAGAAATCCATCTGGACCGTCTCTGCCCTCCGTTTCTCAATCCCTCCCATCCCCGTGTCCCAACCAGTCAGTGTCTCAGTTCCTCCTCTTAGGGTTGCAGCCATCTGGTGCGTGAATGCCCTGATTTACTTACCCCTGCTGATCTCATTCCTCCCTCCAGTCTAAAGCTTTGTCCTGCTTTCTCAAGCTAAGTGCCATCATTTCTTGCATCCTGGGTGCCTTGTCCCATACTTCCCCTTGCCCTTAAAACTGTCACATGACAAATGTCCACAAGTCACCTCTCACCAGCTCTACCATACTTTCATGCTGCTACCCAAACTCTTCCTTGTCACTCTGTAAAACTTTCCAAGACACAGTCTATCCATGCTACCACCATAATCTTTCTATCCATTTTCCCTAAATTATGCATAGCCCAAATGTTTCTGCATAATGATTTCAAGTGGTGGAAATGCCTGGGTGTAGGGTGCAGCGTGGCTCAAATCTTCGGATCCCAGAGAACAAACAACTCACCAAGATTCATGCTCTGCAGCAAAAGAAATGCTTGAAGTGCTGCGGGGTAGCTGCATTTGACCAGGTGCTCCTGTCTGGTAGCATCCTCCCCTGGCTGCAGCCCATGTGGCAAACCTATACTGTTCCCTCCAGTCTCTCAGCCACCATGACGCATGGTGGGCTGAGGAGGGTGAGTGCCAACTATGTTCAGCTCAAGATCTGTCAATTTACCACCAGACTCCGGATCCCCATTGCCAGCTGAACTTCATCCTCCTGGCATCTGTCCTGGGGGGTTTTTCAACACCAACCTGTCTTCTGGAACTGAAGGTTCACTGACCAGCTCCTTCCTAGTCTGCCCCTTTTCCTGCTCCTCATCTTAAATCTCATCACCTTAATCACCTTAAATCTCATCATCCCAGGTTCATAGCATCCAACATTAGAGAAGCACAAATCTGTTTTACTGGAAAGGGGGAGCAGAGCTACAGGTACAATGAACTTGAATTCAGGGCACCCAGCCTGACAGGCACCAGTGCACTTATGGAAACAAACCAGGACATTTGAAATCAGCTCCTTCATGGGAAATTCTGGACTTGTGGACTGCATAGAAACAATGGAAAGTATACAGATTTGGATGGGTTTCTAGGACAGATAGAAATACAAACTTCTGATATGTGGCTTAAAAAAAAAGATAAACCAGATACTTAGCAGGCAAGGGATTTAAAACTTTAAATAACTATAATTAGTAATATTTCAGCCTTAAGCGGTCCTGTTCTCCTGGCAGCCTCAGGTTCCTCATCTGCAAAATGAGGCTTAAATAGATAATTGGGGGTTGAGTGTAGAGACTAACCCTTTCCAGCTCAGCTCCTTACTTGACCGGTACCCAGTGTTGGCTCAAAAGGGAAAGGACAGAGCAAAAAGACAGCAACTCTTCCCTCCCTCAACTTCTCTGTGCACGCTTGTCCACTTGTCTCCTCTCTCTCCTGTGCCCTACCTCTTCTTATTTCTTTCTTTCTCTTCTGTTTTTTCTCACTATTTGTCTTCTTCCTCTCTCTACTTTGGAACTTGGCTTTCCATCTCAAGAAAGCAATTACATTCTTCCCATCTATTCTGAACCGTACAGGAGGATTGGGTGGTGGTCCATGAAGTGCTTGCCCTTCAAAAATGGTCTGAGAACTCAAAGAGTTTGCAAATGTCTAGGTCTCTGGAAACAGTTCTGGTACCCAAACTGAGGCATTAACAGAGAAGGATTCAAAACATTTGCCCACTGATGGGAAGGACTGGGTGGCCTTGGGAGAACCCTAGATCCACTGGAGGCCTGACTAAAGCGGTCCAGGCACATAAAATGCTTCAGTTACTGGCGGGGAAGCAACTTCCCAATAAACAAGGTATTCGAACTCACACATTTGTTTCCTTTCCCTCTAAATGCTAGAAAACGATTAAAGGGGGGAAAAGGCACAAATCCACAGATATAAAGACGATGACATTGGGGCAGCCATTATGGAAAACAATATGGAGATTCCTCAGAAAACTAAAAATAGATTTACCATATGATCCAGCAATCCCACTTCTGGGTATATATCTGGAGGGAACTCTAATTTGAAAAGATACATGCACCCCAATGTTCATAGCAGCACTATGTACAATAGCCAAGACATGGAAGCAACCTAAATGTCCACCAACAGATGACTGGATAAAGAAGTTGTGTATATTTATGTGGAATACTACTCAACCATAAAAAATAAAATAATGCCATTTGCAGCAACATGGATGGACCTAGAGATCGTCATTCTAAGTGAAGTAGGCCAGAAGGAGAAAGAAAAAACCATATGATATCACTCATATGTGAAATCTAAAAAAAAAGAAAAAGAAAAAAAACTCATCTACACAACAGAAACAGACTCTCAGACATAGTAAACAATTGTATGGTTACCGGGGAAAGGGGATGGGAAGAGATAAATTTGGGAGTTTGAGATTTGCAAATGCTAGCCACTATATATAAAAATAGATTTTTAAAAAAGAGCTAAAAGGGCTAATTTCCCCTTCCTCATGCCACCGTACACTGAAACATAAAAGAAGAAATGAATGGGCAAAAAGAGACAAGAGATGGGCAAACACTTCAGAGATATCGATAAAACCTTGGAAGATGGAAAACATATGAACAATGGAAAATGACTGAGCCGTCTAGACAGAGCCCAAGCCACACAGGGGAATGTCTGAGCCAGGAGCACGCAGATTCACACTGCAGATCTCCAAAGTGGCTCCAGAGATAGCAACGCCAGAAACAGGAAGACGAGAGTGAGGCATGGGGCTAAAACCAGGAGAACTGATGGAAGATCGGTATGAGGAGCAGTTAGACATCCCTCGCCCAGATCCTTCCCTCGCACTATCCTCCACCCTGGAAGACAAGCTATTACCGGTCCTCCACTCGGGCAGGAGATTGGAGCTTTACTTTTAGCAGAAACTGAGTTAGAGAAACCACAGTGGACCCTAGAATATCAGGCCCAGCTGAGGGTAGGAATGGAAGACCTATACTGAAAACTGGTGGATTTAGGAAAAGTTTATGTATTGAATCTGAGACCCTCTCGCTGCCTCCTCCTGCTTGGTTCAGGAATGCTGGCATCTAAGCTTGTAGCCCTCTGTGGTAGACAGAATGATGGTCCTCCAAAGATGCCCACATCCTAATCCCCGAATCCTGAAATACGCTACCTTACATGGCAAAGGGACTTGCAGATGTGACTAAATTAAGGGTCGTGAGATACGCTATACTATCTTTGCAATTTTAAGTCTGAAATTATTTCAAAATTTAAAATTTTATAATGAAGTAGTAATTATTGGTCTCCCCTTATTAGTAATCAAACACATATACCTCTTCGTAGCATATTTAACAGATTTGTAAACTACATAAATGGAGCTCAACACAGGTTTGGTCATTTGTTTCCTCTTTTCTTTTCTTCAGGTTAAATCACAGCTTGAAGAAAAAACAAATGAGGCTTATGAAGAATTTGAAGCTGTAGAATATAAAACCCAAGTAGTTGCTGGAGTAAATTACTACATTAAGGTTAGAGCTCAACAGTCACTTTAGCACTAAAGGATATTGTATCTTTCACTCTATGTAATTTTCTCTGTCACCCCTACCTTATAATTTGTTCCTTCTCCTTGTCCTAAATCGAGATACCTATAAAGCATGATACTTTCCAAGTGGTAAATTCTCAAATTTGAAAGATGATGGTATATTTACATTATCTTTTTCTGTGAACTTAGAAAGCTTTCTTATTTTGATCCTTAACTGAATTTCCAGAAAATGTACAGAAAAAGATTTTATAGTTTTCAGAGTTCAGAGCATGTTTAACTTGTGGCCACGGCTGCTTCAGGTGTGAAGTGGGATCCTGAAGATGTGGGATGTGGGACTGGACCAGATGCTATCTTGACACTTATTTCACCTTAAAGCTTTGTGATTCTATGTGTCTAAATTAAATGGACTTAAGGAATGACTTGAATCATTAGGTGGGAAGATAATTTAAACCACTTTTGCCTTTTAAATAAACATTTTGAATAGTGTAATTTAAATAATTTCTGCCACTCAATAAGTAGATTAACTTGTGACATTGTAGGTGTAGTTTGGAGCAGTGGATCATTAAAAGTATTTTAAAAATTAATTTTATAGCTATATCAGAAAATTAAATGACATACCAATCCAGCACTAATTGAAGAAAATATTGGTGAAGTTATTGAATCCAACAGTTTAACCATAGATATTTGGAGGGCATATTTGTCCTTTTGTATTAAGAAGATGATCACTCTGATTTAATAAATAATAACAACAGACATTCAAATGTATTTACTTCATCTTTACTAAACTATTTGACCAGGGCACAGTCTGGCTTATTTCTCTTTAACAAACAATTATACTTAAGATATAAAAATATTTTAATGTTTTCAGCATAAAAATAAAATAAGCAGGGCTAACCAGCTAAGCATGAGAAAATTACAAGACTGGGTCACGTAACTAGGTCAACTCAGTCCTACCAAATTTGACCCCTAGCACATGCCACACTCTGGGGTACTGCACAGGAGTGAGATCCTGCCTTATCCTCAGAAAGCAATGGCCTTGTTTCCTCCTTTCCTGCTTTCTTCGCAGCTGGAAGAGAATGATTTCCAGTTAAAAGTGGTTTTGTTCAAAGATAAGCATTCCATCAAAATTGGCATCATTATTTTAATAAATTATGATTAATCCAAGTACGTAACTTTTATATACTAACCAGCTCAGATATTTCTTTAAAAGCCCATCAGAAAACTGTCTTGAAATTATCTTGAAAATTTCTTCCCTTAAGACCAGTCTTAACCACAGTCCCCTTCCATCTGCTATCATATTTTTCCTACCGGATTACAGGCCCTGATCCCAGCTTCCTCCTTATTTCCTGGCAGTCTAGCTGTTGATCTCTTTCCTCTGAGCCACTCACTCCTTGGATTTCAGGTCTGGCTGGTGTTGTGACCTCCTTTTGTTCTGTCAAGAGGCAGGTGGTAAAATGGAAGGATTTGTAGGCTTTGCTGTCAGGCAGTGCTGCGTCTGAACTCTCGCAAAACCTGTGTGATCACAGCCTGTCATTTTCTCTGAGCCGTAATTCCCTTACCTACGCAATGTGAGTAATAATAATCTGATTTGCAAAGTGGAATAAATAAACTAGATGTTTATGATGTGCTGGGCACTGTTCTAAGAGCTGGGCCTGTATTATCTCATCTAACCCTCTTTACATACTATCTATATGTACGATCATTTCCTCACTTCCTTTGTGCTACTCATGAGAAAATTGAGCTCTGGGGAGGCAGAGTAACTAACAAAGATCACACAGCTATAAGAGCACAACCAGAATCTGAACCCAGGTAGTCTGATGTTTACAGCTGCGCTGCCTCTAGTAACATATGCAAAGCCTGGTGCCCTGTTCCAAGCACAGAATAAATGTTTTTAAAAAGTTGCCCCATAGAGTGAAAAGAACACAGATGATGGGGTCTGGATTTGAATTTTGGCTCTATCACTTATTAGTTGAGAGATTTGTGGAAAATTACTTAATCTCTCTTAATCTGCTATAGCACCTGTAAAATTGTCACTGTTTTTTCAGGCCTATAATAAGAAGTAAATATAAATCAAGTGTGTAGAATGGTCATCATAGTGTTCAACTCACAGCAAACATTTGATACATGGCGTTTACTAAAATTAGGTTAGTTAGACTCAAAGATACAAAGGATGAACTAGTGGTTACCAGTGGAGAAAGGGAAAGGGGGAGAGGCAAGATGGGGGTAGGGGATTAAGAATTATTAACTACCATGTACAAAATAAATAAGCCACAAGTGTATATTGTACAGCACAGGGGAATAAAGCCATTCATTTGTAATAATTCTAAAAAATAAAAACAAAATTAGGTTAGGAAGGGACATCAAAGCACAATAAATATTATTCAAGGACAAAATTGAACCAGGAACAAAAGTGGAAATTTTTACCATGATTTTCTAGGTCCCAGATTCATGCCCAAACTACCATTTCAATCTTCATACCAATGATTTTCCAGCAAGATCCCTTACTTTAGAAGGGAAACAAGACTGTCCACTGCTGGGCCCTGCCCAGTCCTACCAGTGGGTATTTATACAGCAAATTCTAATATTAATAGTGTCCCAATTTGGGAGTCAGGAAACAGAATCGCCAAAAAGTCTGCCACTTATTTTCTTGATCTATGCATTTTAAAAATGAAATGAAACTCTGGACTTTCATTTGTGCCCAGAGTAGAGTAAAATATCAAGTAAAATAAACCCAGGACCTATGCCTCCTGCCCTGCCTTTCGCCTGCCCTTTCTCTCATAAAATAAGGTGGTGGGTTTATGAAAACCAAGGGTCTAAGAATGCTGGCCTAGGAATGCAATTCCAGAAAAGCTTCTTGCAGCGAAGTCTTTATAGGTCTGTAGATCTTTCATGTGAATGAATCTCCTTTTTCATTTTTTCTTTTTTTTTTAACCTTTCAGGTACGAGTAGGTGAGAATAAATATATTCACCTAAAAATATTCAAAAGTCTTCCTCAACAAAATCAGTCTTTGACGCTTACTGGTTACCAGACTGACAAAAACAAGGACGACGAGCTGACGGGCTTTTAGCAGCATGTTCCAAAGGTGGCCAGTTCTTTCCACTGGCTGCTGATGGATGATCCCTGCTAATAAATGAAACTAACAATAAGGAGTTGTCCCTTACCAAATAAATGAATCTTTTCAACTAGTTCTCGTCTATTTTATATAATAGTAATTACCTTTTCTTTCTCAGAATCAACATTATTGCTTTAGAGTAGAAATTCCGTACAAATGGATGTCAATTGGAAATCTTACAAAAATTGGTCAGGCCTAATGCAGCTGGCTAAAGGATGATACCACCACCACTCGTACCACCAGCAGGTTAGGTCATGGGCTGTCAGTGCCCTGGGGCTGCTGAAAACCCAACATGCCATCTCCATCCTCACATTTTAAAAGAAAATCAAGTATTTTACAAAATACATTTATATTTTGAAACAATCTCCAACTTACTGATAAGTTGCCCCCCAAGACTTCCTTCCCGACATTTGAGAGTACGTTATCTACAGTGATGCCCCATCACCAGTAAATACTTTACTGTGCATTTCCTACAAACAAGTATGTTCTCCTGAGTAACTGAAATACAGCCATCAACGCTGGGAAATTAACATGAAACTTTTGCTAGCATCTAATCTTCAGACAACGTTCAAATCTCCCCACTCATCCCAAAAATGTCCTTTATTGCAAAAAGCTCCAGTCCAAAACCATGTGCTCCATTTAATTGCCATTTTTCTCTTTTTAACACTTTTGTTGCAGTATAATTTACATACCATACAATTATATACAAAGTATACAATTCAGTGGTTTTTAGTATGTTCAAAGATGTATGCAACCATCATCACAGCAAATTTTAGAACATATTCATCACCTTGAAAAGAAACACCATAAACTATCATCCTCGTCTATCCTTTGCCACCCCTAAGCAAACACTAATTTACTCACTTTTGTCTCTATGGGTTTGTGTTTTCTAGACATTTCCTATATATGGAATCATACTATATATGGTCTTTTGTAACTGGCTTCTTTTATTTAACAAATGTTTTCAAGATTCATCCATGCTGTAGCATGTACTAATATTTTATTCCATTTTGTGGCCAAATAATATTCCATTTTATGGATATAGTACATTTTGTTTATCCATTCATCAGTTAATGGGTATTTGAGTTGCCTTCACCTTTTGACTATTATAAACAATGCTGCTATAAACACTTGTGTACACGTTTTTGTGTTTACAAATGTTTTCATTTCTCTTGGGTATACACCTAAGAGTAAAATTGTTGGTTTATGTGGTAACTCTGTTTAATTGTTCAAGAAACTTGAACAAGGAATTGTTCAAGGAATGGACTGTTTTCCAAAGCAGCTGCCTCATTTTACATTCCCACCAACAGTGTAAGAGGGTTTGGATTTCTCCACATTCTCATCAACACTTGTTCTTACCTGACATTCTGAGTGGAGCCATCCTAGTGGATGTGAGGAGGTATCTTGCTGTGGTTTTGATTTGCATTTCCTTGGTGACTAAGGCTGTCAAGCATCTCTTCGTGAGCTTATCATCCGTGATCATATCTTCCTTGGAGAAATGTCTATTCAGATCCTTATTCTATTTTTATTTTTATTTATAATTTTTATTGAGTATAGTTGATTTACAAAGTTGCAGGTATACAGCAAATTTACAAAGATTCAGTTATATATATGTGTGTGTGTGTATTCTTTTTCAGATTCTCTTCTATTGTAGGTTATTACAAGATATTGAATATAATTCCCTGTGCTATACAGTATGTCTTTGTTGTTTATCTATTTTATATATGAATTGTGTATTTGTTAATCTCAAATTCTAATTTTTTCTCTCCCCACCTTTGTCTATTTTAAAATTGGGCTATTTGTCTTCTTATTATTGCAATGTAGGGGTTTTTGCATATTCTGGAGACAAGTACCTTAGCAGATATATGATTTGCAAGTATTTTCTTCCATTTTGTGGTTGTTTTTTACACTTCTTGATGGTATTCTTTAAAGTACAAAAGATTTTAATCTTAATGAAATCCAAAGAGTCCATTTTTTCTTTTGTTGCTCATACATTTGCTGTCAGATTGAAGGATTCTTTGCCAGATTCAAGCTTATGATGATTTACTACTGTTTCTTCTAAGAGTTGTGCAGTTTTAGCCTTTATATTTAGGTCTTTGATCTCTTTTGAGTTAATTTTATAAATACTATGAGGTAAGGATCTAACTTTATACTTTTACATGTGGTTATATAGTTGTTCCAGCATCATTCGTTGAAAAGACTATTCTTTTCCACATTGGTCTTGGCACCCTTCTTGAAACAGTTGATCATAGGCACATGAGTTCACTTCTGGACTCTCAAACTATTACATTAACTTGTTTATCCTCATGCCTGTGCCACACTTTCTTGACTACTGTTGCTTTATAGTAAGTTTTGAAATCAGAAAGTGAGTTCTCCAATTTGTTCTTTTTCAAGAAATTTTTTGGGGGGTCAGGCAATTAGGTTTATTTATTTGCTTAATTAGAGGTGCTGGGGACTGAACCCGGGACCTTGTGCATGCAAGTTACACACTCTACCACTGAGCTGTACCCTCCCCCAAGAATGTTTTGATTCTTCTGGATCTTTTGAATTTTCATATAAGTTTTAGAATCAGCTTGTAAATTTCTACCAAGCAGTCAACCAGGATTCTGATAGGACTTGTGTGACTATGTATTTCAATTTGGGGAGTAGTGTTATCTTAAAAATATTAAACCTATTGATCCATGAATAGGATGTCTTCCCAATTATTTATATATTCTGTAATTTCTTTTGATAATGTTTTATAGTTTTCAGAGCACAAGTTTTACAGTTTTTTCTTAGATTTATTCCCATGAATACTATTGTAAGTGAAATTGTTTTCTTAATTTCATTCTGGTTGTTAATCCTTGGTTGTTAATAGAAATCTTTCCTTGGCCTTACCTAATGGATTTTGGACTGAATTGTTTAGGAAGGAGAGGGGAAGAAGTGGAAGAGAGGAGAAAGGAAGGAAGAAATAAAAGAGGAAACTTGTTTTAAAGGTACACTAAATAATGTCTCCCTCTGTGTTCTGCACTCTGCTTACTATCCTACAGTGCCGCTTGCGAATCCCCCGCCCCTGAATGATGATAGTAGTGTACATTAAGTGCTTATTATATGCCAGGTAGGGTTCTAAAGACTTCACACATATAATGCATTTAATTCCTGTAACAACCTCCTGAGGTAAATGTTGTTACTGTCCCCTCTTTACAGAAGACTGAGCATAGAGAGGTTAAGTTACTTGCCCAAGGCCTCAAAGCTACTTAGTAAAGTGAGAATATGATCCCAGGCTGTTTGTCTCCAGAACAAATGCTCTTAACCTCTACCTTCTACCAACACAAGGCCAGAATCCATTTATTCAGCTATTTTGACCCCTGAAGGAGATAAGTAAGGGCTTGAAGAGTGATTGAGGGGGTGGTGTTACAACTGACAACTCAATGCTTCACAATAAAGAAACTGCTCTATTCACCTGCCTTCAGCTCTTCGCATGTAGAGATTTTGTTCAATAAATGAAAAAAGATCTCTACTGGCCTAGTAATAATCCTTTTCTGAACAGTGCAAACATGGGCAAACATCTAAAGCGGTATACACAGAAGAGCTAGTCGAAGATACATGAAACTTCATAATCAGGTTGATTAGATTTGTTTTTACTTTATCTTGATTTTGATATAGAAAGTCGGAATATATCACATGTTTAAGAATTAGTCTAATAAGGGACACACAGCACCTATGCAAAGACAATCACACTGTTTCACTTTCAGAAATAAAAGACTTGAATAAATGGATAAACATCCTGTTGCTTGTTAGGTAGGGTTCATGGTAAAGAGAACACAATAGTAAAGAGAATAAATAAGAAAGAAGATCAAGTACTGTGTGTAGCGATTCTCAATTTTGCCTGCATATTAGAATCACTTAATTTATAAGTTTAAAAAAACCTAGGTTGGGGACTCACTGCAGACCAATTAAATAAGGATCTCTGGGAAAGAGTCTAGGTGATTCTAATGTCAGCTGGGATTGACTACTATTATGGTATAAAAGAAAAGAGAAAATGGTTTAATGGAAATACTTGCCCTAATAAAATTTAAAATATATTTCAAAGTTTAAAATTTATTACAAAATATTTCATTTTTCTGATAGTAGATTACAAAACAAAAGAGATAATGGAAACAGAAAAAAAAGTCAGAAAGTGTGACCCAAATCTGTTTAAGTTGGGTAAAATAAAGACAGTATGAAAATAATTTTTTATTTACAAAATGTTGTAGAAAAATTACATTTTGGGGGGAAATAATCATTTGGGTCCATATTTTGTATATATCATAATAAATTACAAATTGGTTAAAAAGTGGGAAACTGGAATGGATAGTTACAGTGGAACTCTTAAAAACAGTTTTAACCCAGAAGATAACTCTTTTTAAAGGGAGTGGCTTATTTTAAAGGATAAGGAAGTGGTATTTGAACAATTAGACTAATTCCCCAAGAATTGTTGAGATTCCTTGAGTAACAAAAAGAAAACAGACTTACAACTGAATAAACTGTTGATGGAAAGGGTGTTCAAAACATGATTGGCCATTTAGGGCTTATTCAGATAAAGGAACAAGTTTTCCCCCAAAAGACCTATCTTCCCTTAGCAATACTATTGCAATTGAAGGAAAAAAATTCATTTCTCAAACATTTCCCCCCACCAAATCTGAAGTATAATCTGGGAGCAAGAATGTGTACTCTATTGTAAAAGTTATTTTCACTAATCCCAAAGAGAGAGACTGAGAGAATGAGCTCTTGCCTTGCAAAGAAGAGGGACTCAACTCCGGTATCTGTCATGCACTTCCAGAATTCTCTGCCAGTGGACCATGGTTAAAGGACCGGGTATAAGGCCAAGTGAAGATTCAGACGTCATGATTCTGCCCAGGGTTGTAGGCAATGCCTACTCTGTTCTTTCTTGGGAAACACGTTTCTTCACTTACCTAAGGGAGTGACTCAATCAATTTTTGGCATGTTTCTCATTTAGGAGAGGGCCAAAACTCATCCTGGGTGCTGAAGGCTTCTGAGGTTTCCCAGGTTTCCCGTGTTGGAACTTGAATTCAGACACTGTAGGGAGTTTCT